GTCTATACTAAGTAGTTCCAGCGTTGACCGCTCGATAGCGCCGCTTACCCGCGCTAGAAAAAATCAGTCCGGGAACTTTCCGGACAAACTGTGTAAAGATAAAACCGGGTACGTCGTTCTGTTTTTAACTTATTAAACGATTTGACACAACTGTGATCAAAATTAAAATCTTTATTCTTTTTTAAGAGATCCTGCAGTGGTTTGGCCTTCAATGAAAAATTACGGATGAATTTACGAAAGTAGCCCGCTAGGCCAAGGCACCGCTGGACTTCATACACGTTTGAGGATATTTTAAAATTACTAATTGCCTCGGTGTGCTTTGTGCTCAACGTTATGTTATTTTGTGAAATTATATATCCGAGGAATTCTAATTTGTTTTTTAAAAATCGACACTTTGTATAATTAATTTCGAATTTGTATTTCTTCAAGGTTGTGAGCACCTCCTTTAACACAGCTAAGTTTTCTTCGACCGATTTAGTGGGGATGAGTATATCATCCATGTATACGATTAACTTCTCTTGTCTAATCAACGGATTCAATATTTGCAAGATCCGTTTTTGGAACTCGGCTGGGGCCTCTGAGTAGCCGAACGGTAAGTAGTTATACTCAAACTAACCCTCCGCAGTTGCAAAAGCAAAATATTTTGTACTATTATCATTTACTCGTATTTGATGAAAACTATCTTTTAAATCTAATAAAGTGAACACGGATTTATCATGCAATTTAGATATACAATCTTCTATATTAGGAAAGGGGTATTTTTGCTTAATTGTTCGGCTATTGAGAGGTCTCAGATCGACGCACATTCTAATTTGCCCGTTTTTTTTTCTGACAGGCACTACTCGAGAGCAGTAAGGCGACGTACTCGGCTTAATGATTCCTCGCTTAAGAAGATCATCTGTTATCGCCCTTAGCTGGAATCGTTCGACATGCGCGAAACGTCGCGGGGCGAACGCGAAGATAGTATCATCTTTAAGGTGAACTTGAACGATGTATCCGTCCTCGACCGGTTCGATATTTCCGTTTTCTATATTCAAAATTATTTGAACCAAACTTTCTTTAACACCATCGTTAAAATCTACTATATGATTATTTAATATTTCTTCTAATGTTCCAGGTTCGACATCCTCCACGCAAAGAGGCAAAATTGGAAACAAATTTTCCGACGGTTCCGACTCGACAATATCTTTACGCTTTTTGGGGTAACACAAGGTAATCCCTTGGTTTTGTATAAATTCCCGACCAAGAAGTAAATCGTTACTAAATGCATATTCTCTTATTACGTATAATTTGACATATATTTTGTTATTTTTTAGACAACTTATT